CTCTTGGATACAGGTCGTTTCATTCGGTAACATCTTGACGACACACAGTATATTTACATGTACTTCATTCGGAACACTGGCTGGGACTCTTTGGACATACGAAAACTGTTGTTAGCTAGTCATACACATATTAGCCAGGTATACAGCCATACCTGTGTAATATTTCAGGTGGTTATATCATATAGTATTAACTCCATGAAACACTTTATCTTATATGCCTGATTTAAACCCAAAGATACACGATACTACCAGCACGAATAGAGTACACCAATGAATCTGAACCCTAAGACAGATCTATATTATGTTTGTCGAGGATTTAGATTCGGTCTGTCAACTTACTTGTTTTTTGATTGTCTTAATCTCCGGTATTTTCCGTACATTTCCGGATTCTATTTTTTCTTGGCTGCCACGGAAACATTGACTGATTAGCTCCAATAAAAATATTCTAGAAATGGTTTCGTGCTTCGAGTCTGAAATGTCTTTTTGGCATCACGCCATTTTTCAACGTCCACGCCACCAACGCCGTCATCATTCTCCACTTTGTGAACGTTGAACCTATCGTGGAAGTACTTAGTTGACAAGCTCATTTTCAAAATTGGCATCAGGTGTTCTTTAAAGTGAACATAGCCTACTTCGCAGGTGCAGAGCAATTGTATTTTAACATATAGGTTCAATCGATTCATATTGGCACGAAAATTGAATCACGTTCGGCCATGTTGTATATATATATGTATGCAAATTTCAATATCGCCATTTGTTCAAGGTCTGGTTCGCACTCTGACCTCACGCCATATTCTTTTCCCATTTAGCTAGCCCTGGGGCAAAGACAAATATTTTGTGGCTCAGACACTCACTGAAGACTAAAACTAAAAGTACGAATAACAAACGTCAGTAGAAATTACAAGCTAGACATTTATAACGCGAATTTAAAAAGCCGTGCCAATTAACGTCAAGCTTAATGAATGTCCTATTGACCTAGACTTTTATCAAAGTAGTCGCGATCAATAAGACTCGGAATGAGTATATCAACGTACATGTATGTCTGGTAATGCGAGACTAACTTCAAGACGAAATAAAGGAGAGTGGTAATAAAGGGCGATAACTGTAATATGTTATGACAGCCTGTCGATGCGCGTGATTGATAATGTCAGATTTTCTAACAACCAGACTCGATTCTGACTTCTGCTTTCAGATTATATTAGCCTCCAGTATTAGTTTGATTTAAAGACACATTCGCAGTCTACAGTAATAGGCTGTGCACTTTAAAGATACTTCGTCAGTTGGAAATCGTGAAAGAGCTCAAAGCTCAAAGCTTTAGACTAGTGTTGGAAATGGGCAATCTGATTAAAATTATATTACAATTTCGTTTCCTGTTTGTTTTCTGATAATTCTTTGGTAAAGCATGTAAAATTTTCCACCGTTTCTGACGTTAGTATTAACCAATCAAAGTTTGTCGTTTAGGACACGTTTCCATAAAGAATTAAGTGATAGTTAAAACCAGACTGTCGTCTCTACTTTGGGTTTCGCTATCCCATAAGTGGTTATGTTATCAAGTGGGATAGCGAAACTCAGAGAGGCTATCAAATTGCTCTACTTTGGGTTTCGCTTTTCCATAAATGGATATACTATCAACACGCTTTGATTGTGAAGAAACAATTCGGTCCTATCTAGAATCAGTGATTTGAGAGAAACAAGTGACAAATTGAATGGTGCTGTTAAACAGTATCATTGATTCTAGGCCTTTGATGTCCTCAGAACTGTGTGATGAAATCGGCAATTCAATTTAATGTTATGAGTTTACTTCAAACATTCCCAAACACTCGCCACCTTATTGAAAACAGTTGCATTTCCACTTAGAATTAAAACTTCACACTGTAAGATTTTTCAGTGAAATTGTGCGGTATGATTAAGGCAGCTATATTGCCAGAAAATTTTTTGTTACATCAGCTATTATTGACAAATTTGAAATGTTAGAGAAATCGAGAGATGACTAAGTCTATTGCGAGTTGAGCTGGTATAAGACATGCAAACTTTCCACAGCCAGTTATTTCGGTAATGAACGTGGTAGCGGTTTCCTTCCTAACCAATGTAAGTCTATTCCGAGGTAAATTCCACTGACAGGTTGGTTTGATAAAGCAATGCCTTTTTTCTTGGTTTGCTGATAATCCATTGATTTTGGCAATTGATCGGTTACATATTGGAACTACAATTCAGTATCTATTTTTGTTTCTGATACTTTTCGTCTACATTGGAGAATGTTATATATTGCCAACATGCAACATGTATATTTTACATACAAGATCTTACAGTGTCATCCTAATAAACAAAATACTTACAACTGTTTGAAAATGTAATTACTGAAATAAGTGCCCTCAAGGTATGTTGGTGAAAATTACATTAACAATTCACTGTAAAATACTCCAGAGAATTCAGTGGAGATTTATGTTTGTCTTGTGTCTGAAAATGTTCAAAGAATATGTTAGTGCAAACAAACTTGAAAGGAAGTTTGAAAAGTCTGGTGATTGAGACTTTGGCTAATTTCGAACTGTTTTATCACGCAGCTTTGTGCATGGAGGAAATCATGCTAGAAAACCTTCCATTTATAGGACCTGATACTTATGGGATGGTTTAAGATCTTTGAGTGGGGGCTGTGCGCCTATATTTTTTGGTATAATTTGAAATAATGGTACCATGGTGTACATAAAGAGGGTCGGTGCAGGGGAAGATACAGGTTTGTACCCCAAATTGTTCCCCTACTCCATTACTAACAAATTTAGAAATGTGATTTTTATACGTTTTTTCTTGGTGTGAACCCTTATAGATGCTCAGTTGGTTGCTCTTGCCTATAGGCTCCCACAGAGCTGCGGCATTTTAAATTTTATCCTCGGCGGTTGTCCACACCCTCCCCCTCAGTCAGTCTGTCCCCTATTTGTCTCACCACTGTCGGAGTGTCTGTCTCACTTCACTTCAACTCACTGCCTCCAAAAGACTAAATAATAGCCACTTCAGTTCGCCATGTTCTTAAATATTGCAAAAGCGAGCCATGAACTCCAAATATTAAACATATTCAGTTCAACTGACTGCCTCGTGGCCATCTGAAGGCGAAAGTTAAAGATCAAAGCAGGTGGTGGAATGTAAACACAAATAAAAGAAATTCTCCCCACAAATAAACCATTTCTGCTACAAATACTCCAATCTTAATGATCGCTCCCTCTTTCAATAACATACCGTTTCCGTTCTTTTAGCCTGAAGAGTTCTTTCACCAATAGCCAATCAAGATCGTTATTAACATTTAGCCCGCACACAGAAGAACATACAGCTCCCTCTGGCGGTAAATATTTACATCAAGTGGCTTTTAATTGTCGGATCTTAAGAAAGTATGAAACTGTATAAACACAGACTTCTATTTGGTCTTCATGGCTCCAGGCCATGGACAACTTGGAACGAAAATGACCCCAAACATCAAAAAGAGAGTTATGCCCCTTTATTAGTTTATTCAATGAGACTATTGAAGTGATTATCAGACTGTTGGCTGGAGGCGAAATGTCAATCAAAATAAACTATTCTGATTGGCTCTTTCTCTACTTTCGTTTTCTATATTCAGCTTTATTGAGCGAGATTCAGTTCTAGTAGGTTCAAGTAGATTCTTTCGGCTTTTCTGAAATCTTCAAAGCAGAACATGGAATTGGAAATCGCAATGGATACATCCTCCAACTGCGTGATCCAAGTGCAGTGTCATATTTTCGGGATTCTTTTTATCTGCTCAATTTCTTTACTTTTGATTTTCTCTCTTTTAAGGCAGTGGAAAGGATGTTGAAATAGTAATTTCGTGCTGCTATAGTCTAAAATCCTCAAACTCAATCGCATCATGCCTTCCTGGGTGTCCATATTAATATTTATGTATTAATAGCAAACTAGTGGCGCTTAAAGATATTAGTAATATAATGAACAATTTGTTATTCTGTCAATTTGTCAAAATACATTATGATATAGACGTGATCAATATGTCTCACAATATGAGTTATAGCCGCGATCAATAAGTCTGTATATTAAAATGGCGCCATGACTGTATTTATTTCACGTTTATGATGTTCAGTTCATGTCTTCTGTCGACCTCTTGTCAATTCTGTCCATAAAACTATCAGAATTTATCTTTTTATTCACTGATAGATTCCATTAGATAACACATTTCTTTTAATTTACCAATATTGAAAGATAACCTTTATTTTTTATTCATTTGAATTTTCCCGCCATAAGATTATCGCAAGTCGCCGATGTGCAGAACTCAATATTATAGGCCTACTAACAAAATTGACTTTCCAAATAAAAACGAAACATTTGATTACCTCTATTATATTTTATATTTAAAGACACTCAGATTTTGTAAACTTTGAGACTAGGGTCACTTTTTTGAGACTTTTGAGAATTGTTGTAGGGGTCATATACGCCTGACTCATCTGAGACATCGGACCACATCCAGTGGTACGACCCCTCAGTTCGTCTCTGCAAATAGTCCCCCTATAAATGATCAAGATAGTATGGAAGATGAAAGTACACGACATTTATTGGTGTATATGCCAATCATAGCACGTGGTGTTTAGAAGCCATTAGAACACGTCAATAACAGTAGATACAATTTGATATAAACGTCGGCATAAAACAAAAGATGAAAGAGACGCCGACAATAAAAACTTGTGTTTGTAGTCGAGATAATATCTGGTGAAAACAGCCGATAAACCAGTAGTTACAATCGTATTGATATGATCACTGATAGATTCCGTGTCGATACATGTCGCTTGGTCTTCGCAATATATCATTACAGCCTAAGATATAGGGGAGGGAAGAATTCTTATACTGATCCGACTAACAAAGACTGTACCATGTAAAAATGTTCTTTGCCGTTAAGGGAACTCGTAATTATGGTACCTAAGTAACAGACTGGCTTATGGAATGGTTATTTTCTACTCTACATTAAGATAAAGCCGCGAATAGACGAGGTACGGTGTCCGATGTGGTGTACGACGCGAATAGACGAGGTACGGTGTCCGGTTTGGTGTACGACGCGAATAGACGAGGTACGGTGTCCGGTGTGGTATACGGCGCGAATAGACGAGGTATGGTGTCCGGTGCGGTATACGGCGTGAATAGACGAGGTACGGTGTCCGGTGCGGTGTACGACGCGAATAGACGAGGTACGGTGTCCGGTGTGGTATACGGCGCGAATAGACGAGTTACGGTGTCCGGTGCGGTATACGACGCGAATAGACGAGGTACGGTGTCCGGTGCGGTATACGGCGAGAATAGACGAGGTACGGTGTCCGGTGCGCTATACGATGCGGCAAAAGAAGAAGTGAACACACACACGGTGCAGACACGAATCGTTTTTTATATTTTCTACTGTATCGATAATCCCGCACCATATACTGCACCAGACGCCGTACATCGTCTATTCGCGCCTTTACACTTATTGGATTGATAAAAACGTACGACTTTTTTAAGGTGACCAGTTGACATGACAAAGAATACTTTCAGTTTGCTTCATATGCTTCACTTGACTTTAGGATATCTACGGCCCAAAACAAAGTTTGAGTCTGTAAAAATAATTCGTTGTGTTTTGGTTTGCGACTCACAAGAAGAAGCTGGCCTAGCCTATCGTCTCAGTAGCCGTAACATCGCAACGATATTCTCGGATCGACGGAGGCGGATTCAAATATGGAATAAAACATTCATTACGTTGTAGGGTAAAATATTCCCAAAAGATGCGAAGCTTGTATAGAGACTAACGCTTCGAGTGCAACACAAACCCTTGCGAAGATGGTGATGATTTGTATCGACAATGTGGATGAGTTTCAGACAGATGCTGAAAGAACCGAGTGGGGTACGATACTGTAGTAATTATTAAAGTCAAAGGGAGATAATCTACAAAGGGAGATAACCAGAGATAAATGAGATGATTAGAGTAATCGGTGCTATAAATAGACCAATATTAAAAGCAGTAATAAGTGTTTCTCTTTAATAAATATTTTATCTAGAAACGATCCGATATCAGTAAGTGTATTGAATATTATAGATATGTGATATAAAATCAGGTTTTTTTTTTATGTATGAAAGATGTAAACAGATAGGTTTAAAAGGTTTCTATCAGGTCTTGATATAGTAACAAAGTGAGTGAAACACCCTACCACAGTCTAGGTGATGATACCCCGAACTAAGGGATACCAACTTCCTGATAGTCAAATTATACACTTCGGAACAGAAATAATCACACATTTGAGTTCAAGGTATATTTGAAGGAATTGTGCGATTTTCGTACTTCTAAAGACTATTTACATATACATGTATCCAAGACTCAAATCAACTCCTGAAAATTGCCTTTAAACCACGATTCACTTGGAATTTTTGATTCTTTTATTACAGTATATTATTAGATGGTTACATCCCTTAAAGCACGTATTTTAAGACAAGAATAAAATATGATCATAAAAATAACATGGTTGCTGGACAACGGAATATTAAATCATAATCAATCAAGTTTCTCTGATCTGAACATTGAAATATGACAGAAGAGAAAGCGACCCCACCCTTCAATAACTTGTCTGACTCGAGTGTCAGTGAAGTATTTAATCATAAAGTACTTTTTGACTGACATGACAGAAAAATTCTACCTTACACAGTGGTGGGGGTTCCTATACTGAAAACACAACATTGCAGTCACTTGTTATAGTTCTATGCAACGTTTCGATATAATTCCTAGCATATTAAATAAAGCATGTCAACATTGGGTGCTTCAGTTACGCAAAGTTTCTTTTTCAAAACTTATATAAAATTTGCAATAACATTTTTGAAGAGCGACCACGTAGCTAATAGTTATTTATATGTTTCATTAACAGATAAACAAGAGTCCTTTATTCTTTGATATATTTATGACTTAATATCACAACTCGAGATTTGTTGAAGACATAAAAGACGATATGAGAGAATAAAGAGGGGTATATATTGATATGAAGTGCCCGACTGACATCCTCTACATATAAATCAATATATTTTTAATTTCAATCTCCAGTCAAACATATCTACATTCCTTCACGAAGAGTATCTCCCTTTCGCGAAATCAACTAGGGTTGTACGTCGTACTTTCTGCTGGGTTTGGAGATGACAAGTTAATTTAATGTACTAGACGGAATGTATAGTTGTAAAATATCACTATACATGCATCGCCATTAGCTATGTGGTCTCTCTGCTGCTAAGAAATTTCACTTTCTTTTCGAGAGTTACAAATGTGTCATAATTTGCGACTGGACGAGATGTCTAATAAGTTATTTATGAGGTTGTAATCGGCCTTATGTTCAGTTATATATCTTTCGTGTCATACGGTCCTTTAATGTCATTCAGAATTATTTACGACAATCATCTTACGGTCGAAAGTGTTGATAGGTCGTTATCATAACTATTTACGACATCTTTTACTTTAAGGTCCTACTTTGGATTATATTTGTAGACATACTAGTCAAATGACTTTTTCCTTTGCTTTTTTTCTTGGTTCACCTTGGCAAAGCACATAAGTAGCTTGATCGAGTGTGGTCCGTAGCCAGAATTGTAGGGCAAGTAATATATCCGGAGGGGCGTGTGGTGTTTAGTTGCACTATTTGAATTGGTCGGCAATCCAATGCCCCCCCCCCCCCCCCCTCCTTGTCCCCTATAGCCTTGGACCTGACCCATACTCACATCGGTTGTTAGAAACGAAATTTACAAAATATATGGTTGCATCAGGCCGTAAAGTTGTTTTTCTCACCAGTCGATTGGTTCGTCAATATTTTAAGATAGATTACGGATTATTGGTCGATATGTCAACACATTAATAAATAGTGTCCAATTTCAATTCTTCACATTTCATAATGAGTTCCTAATCCAGCAGCCAATCCGTCATAAAGTTATTAATAATGCCTAGAGTCTATTCAGTCTACTGCTCGACAACATGCAATGTGGTTGTTAACTTCTACAGTTCTAAACCCATACACGAGAACATGTCGTTATTCATCTTAATTCAGTCTTAAAGTCTGCCAATTCCTGTAGAGATGATGTTGGATTACTGGGAATGTCAACACCGAGATAGCACCGAGACCAGGTGCACCCCACTGAGGTTAGTATCGCAAGAACAATATTGCGATTTTTTCGGGGCTTATTTTATAACCTCTTCACTGTATCAGATCTTCTTACACATTTTCTAGCTTTAATATGAGTATTTCGGGATCTTTCAGATCGATTTGCAATTTCCAATTGGACTACTGGTTGCTGGACTACTATGTAAATGCGTTGGTATCATTTGCTCTGATAGAGTCATAATTTGGCGAAGGAAGTGAAAGAATCTCGGCAGTGAGAAGAGAAATCTGATGTTACAAATAGAAGGTACATCCTGTGGCTATCAAGTAAAAAAAAATCTACAAATCTACCCCGCTAGTGTGAAAGTACCCTTATAAATATCCCTTGATTAACGACGATGCTGACATTTAATAATAAAATTATCAAGACCTACATGGGTTAAAGATTTAAAGAAGCGTCACAAACAAGAGACATTAATCATCTTTATCAGTGACAGATCATAAGCCTTAGTAAAATCACAATAAATGGTTGAGTGATATCGGAGCTGCCTTCAATAAACCATGATTGATATCTTCAACATTAAATATCGTGTTGGTCTGGTAGTATCACACAACAGTATTTCTAGTAATCTCTTACCTCTAAGGGGATGATCACACGGGTAAATATTAAAAAGCCTGCAGTATAACATCACATCAAAGGCTTTTTGCAAAAGGGGATTACCACAGACCAATACTTTAGTAATCTCTGAGGGAATGGTCACACCAATATTTATAGTAATGTCGTGTTGGTCTGGTAGTATCATACAACAGTAATCTCTCGGCTATAAGGGGGTAGTCACACGGGTGACGAAAACCCACGCCTCGCATGCTCAAGACAGCACATGTTAAAATGCAACATCGTACCCCAGGGGAGGCTTTTGTCAATATCCCGTTAAAATATTGTACCCTAATATTCTTGCCCGTCTTCCGGTGATAAAGGCCTAACAAGACGTCACATCAAAAGTCCCCCAGACATCACCGATATCCAGAACCAAGACACAAACTAATTTAAGTCAGGATAGTATTTCACTATTTTGAGAGGTGTGACTTAGACTTAAAAAGTAACAGGACAATTTAATTCCCTCTTGTCCATCAACAAGTCAAGTTTTAATGTGATTTACCGCTGAGGGCGTGTCGGGGTACACGAAAAGCTGCACAGTTATCATTCACACGTCATGTTTTACAGGCCAGATCTAATGGAGAACTGCTTCGTCCTTGTTCTCCAACAATAGAGGGATGTACTTGGTTTGTTACAAGACAATACAAGGATGTACTGGGTTTGTATCTTGACAATGGACGTGTTAAATGAAGGGTAGTTATTTTAATTATCAAATCTTGAAGATATCCTAGTTTATGTTCTAAGATGTATTGTAAAGTTGATGGCGCCCCGGGGGTGTTGTCACTCAATGTAACAGCTATTGACAATGCGTTCATATTAAACTAAGCACCATGTGAGGTCTAGGCTGTTCTTGTAATTGACATGATAAGTATGTGGGTCGTAACCTTGCCTTAACAACACCTAAAAAGGGTTATTATATCTCTCTCCTGTGTCACGATATAAATCACCGCGGTTTCCTTTGATGTGACAGGTAGATAGGTGCTTGTAAACATTTCAACAATCTACCTGACATTAAGTATTTTATTAATGCAACGAGTTGGATTACAGGTAAATAGAGGCGGGGCTCGACTCTAACTTAGATAATACAACCATACGAACTGCCCCCTTTCATAATTCGTAATGATATTACACAAACAAACCTCAACTCCACGAACTTCCCCTTTTATTTAATGATATAAAAAGAAGTAAACTAGGATTGAACGAACTCCCCCCTTTCATAATTCGTAATGATATTACACAAGCAGACCACAAACAAACCTCAACTCCACGAACTTCCCCTTTATTTAATGATATTACAAGAAGTAAAATAGGAAATTATATATAAACTCTAAGCCAAAAAACAAACTATGACTAAACGAACTGCATCTTTCATATATAATAATATTAAACAAAAAGTCCCAAAACGAACTACGACTATACGAACTGTCCCTTTCTTATTTAATAATACATGTATTACACAAGAGGCCTAAAATAAACCACCGCCTTAGTTTTAGTTTTTCCCTCCATTGAACATATTTACATAATACAGTGCGCGGCGGGGGAAATTTTGTGTGAAGCAATTCATATGTACCCCTAACCCTAATGACAGGCATTATTC